ATTGATCTGTTTTGTTACTTCCTGTGCTTTGAGTTCAGGGTGTCCTGGTGGTTCACTATCGGCCTTTTCATCCTCATTTGCCCTACTGTTTGCCGTTGGTGAACTGGAAGTCTGTCCTTGTGTCTTGCTTAAGTGTTTTCTCATTTTAATTTTTGTTGTCGGACTGTCCTTGGTTTAATCTCTGGATTATCACCCAAATCTTCCTGATATAGTTGTGCCCTAGCTTCTGTGTCTCTAACGACCCACAGACATTCTCATCTTCATAACATCAGAGAAAACAGCTCATCAAATCAACGACAATGCTTTACCCCAACTGATACAGTCAGCAACACATTAAGATCAAGCACAACTTGGACACTGACCATCTGTGGTAGTCACTAGTCTATCACCCTTAAATCATTTGAATTAAATTGAAATCAAGAAGCAGTCCAGAACATGACTGCAGTGAGCAAAATTTCAATATAGTGTATTTACCATTTAATGGCTCAGACAGAGCAAGGATGCAAGACCCCTGATCTCAGTTAGCTGATGGCTGAACCCCCTGACGCTGACTGACCTCGGCCTGCAAGGCCCAGATTGAGTTCCCCATCCTTCTGAATGGTTGAACTCTGCAACGTTCTATTACAGGTTTCCCATACCCTTTCTTTAAAGATGTTCAAAGTTGGGAATTCACAAAAACACCCTTGATGACCACCTCTGTCTTTGCAGAGTGGGTCCAAAGACTGGCACAGTCAGGAGGTCTGAGAGTGCGGGTGGGGGGGCTTATGGGGGGTTCAGGGGCACCCATGCAGCTACCTTCCTGGCACTTGAGCGATGGCGGCTGGGTCGGGAGCAGGTGTGGTTCTCCTTCCCGTGGTGGATCGGGGCCCAGGCTGCCTCCCCATTTATTTATTAAATAAATGTTACTGAGTCCTTCTGATGAGCCAAGCACTGAGCATTGGTCAAGGAAGAATGGGAAATGACTCAAATTCTCCTACAATTTTGCCTAATGGGTGCAATGACACCTTCATCTTCACCGCCCCCTGAAGGCACTGTATTCTTCTGGTACTTATTCCCAGATGTCTACTGGGGGCCCTAAGCTGCAAGTGTGGGTCTATGCTTGTCCTCAAGGAGCTTAAACAGGCTGGATACATTCTAGCATCCCTTCTCAAGTCTGTCACCTGCTTGCCTGAAGTCGCTCAACCATACATCTACCAGATAGAATGAGGGGCACATATGTGAAAGGGAGAAAATGGCTAAGACAATGGACCAGCAGATCTGTGAGTTGTGGCCCCGAAGTTCATGGAAGAGGCTGAGTCTCCTTGGTGGCTACTCCATGATGGCAGCCTGCGATGGCTAATCTTGATTGCCAACTGGACTGGATTGAGAAATATATAGGAAATCAGTAACACACACTTCTGGCTGTGTCTGTGGGTTTTTCCAAAGATGAATGGATCATGAGGGAGAGATCATAACTTGATGGCATTATTGGAAGGGGCTGGAGAAAGGAGGTGGCACCTAATTCCCAGGAGAGGTTCCTGGGGTTACGACTTGGGGACTATATCTAGTCTCTGGCCTCTGAAGCTCTTTTCTCTGCTTCCTGGCTGTCAGAAAGTGAGTGGTTTTCCTTGGCTATGCCTTTCACCATGATGTCCATTTTGTGGAGCCAGCTGACCATGGACTGGAACCTCTGAAATGAGAGCCAAATGACACTGCTTCTCCTCTAGGTTATTTTCCTCAGGTATTTGGTC